ACATTTTAGCCACATTTGCATCTCTGTCTCTCCAATAGAAAAGCAGCTTAATACTGGGTCCTGAGTAAGTTTCCTCTGGGGGCTGTCCCCATGCCCCCTGCCCCAACCCCTCCAGGGGGCTGCATGACCAGGCACAGACAGTATCCCTGGGTGATGGCACCTGGCTAGGTGGCTAGGGTACCACTCAGGACACAAGGGGCCTGAAAGAGCCCGGAATCAGGCTGCTGTGTCCCCTCAAGAGGACAAAAGGTTTTCCAAAAGGACCCTGGCCAGGCCAGCCCCTTCTCAGGGTCTTTAGATGCTATTGTGTGTTTAAGTCCACATGAAACCTCCAGTGCCACTGTTTGTTTATGTGCTCGATTATCACAATACAGACCGCAACTGAATCATTTCTAACAGTTTGAAATTATATTTCACATAAAACAATACTGAAAACATTTTAATATTATTTTTAAGATCAACATGAAAAAGGGATTCAAGTATTTTCTCTCCTGTTTGATGTTCCGTCGGCCTGGAGTTGTGTGAGGAGAGTGTGCCCAGGGTTATCACCATGGAATGCCGACGCCGAAGCCAGGATTTTGGCACTAGGTTGAGATGTACCTTAGAGGACAGAGCAGTTGGCTGAAACCCATGCTGTGGGCACATTCTCCTGCTAGTGCTCGAACCCTGTGCTCAAAGCCACACAGGTGCCCAGCCCCAGACACCTCTGCCCTAAGCATGTGTGCCAGGCCCATGCTGGAAATCGCCTTTGTAGTCAGCTTCATAGAAAAAATATCCTCACAGAAAACAAAGTGAGGGCATAAAAACACCAGGCACCAGGAAGGGTCACTTGGGCTACCAGTGCCATCTGGGGTCTCCGTGGGATGCTCAGGTCTGATGCGCTGGAGTTGGCCCAGGCTCCCCACTAGGGTTCTGAGCCAGAGTGTCAAGGACGCAGTCTACCTGCTGCCTCGTCAGCCAGAGTCCCTGCAGCTGCCTGCTGCTGCTGTGTTCCTGTCACCATCTCATCTCCACCCCCTTTCTTGGGAAGAAATGAGAAGTGTCCAAGGAAACACGGCATCAACATGCTAGCCTCAGCAGCCCTTCTGGGTAATGTCCAGTCCCGATGACTTGGTGATTTCCAGGGTTGTGAACACCTATGCACAGGAAGGAAACACAAATACACAGATGTAACCGATGCTTTGGGAGAACACCCACACCATCCTTTAAAATATACGAATCAGCCAGGTGTGGTGGTGCACACCTGTAATTCTAGCACTCAAGAGGCTGATGCAGGAGGATTGCCATGAGTTCAAGGCCGGGCTAGGCTACATAGTGAATTTAAGGCCAGCCTGAACTACATAGCCAGACTTTGTCTCAAAAATCAAAAAACTATTACTAATAAAAAGTCTTTCTAACATGCCCTTCATAGTGGTTTTTCAAACACCACCAACTGAAGCCAAGGAAAGAAACCTCCTGTTCCCTACCTCTCCACATGTAGGGTGGATTCCAATAGTGTCATCAAGCAGCTGTTTTGTGAGCCCACACTTCATGGAAGCTGCAAACCCCTGGGTGATCTCACCAGCATTCGGTCCAAGAACATGAAATCCTAACACACGATCCTTTAATGAAGGAACACAACAGAGAATCTGGTAGGTTATCAGTCTGAAGAGAAACCCATCCCCTGCAAGCTCACGTGAAGATTTACAGCCTCTCCTTCAGGAAAGGAAAACTCCAATGTTGAAGTGAGCAGAGAATTTCACCAGGAGAGTGAGCCACGGCAGGAATCTGTTAAATGAGCCAGTAAATGCACAGCCAGAGTTAATTTGCACTCAAATTTACTAGAACAAGCAATTTCCCGACTGCATGAAGGAGTTCATTAGGATGATGTAAATTTCTGAATTATGCGGGATGGTATGAAACAACAACACAGTAACTCTGAATTAAAGTCCAATACTGGAATAATCCCAAGGCATCAGGGCACAAGTGCAGCTCCCAAGGCCATGGGTGGATGTGGGGTCAGATTCTAGGCTGCACTGTGCAGCAAACTGGGAGGGGGACACCTGTGAAGATTCCACTGGAAACTGAAAA